ATCAAATGAATCCACATATCCGAACAGCGGCTCAAGATCGTTTGTTGTTCCTTTTTCTTGCTCCTCGACAATTTTTTTAATGTGTTCTTTCTTAAGATGGGTTTTGCCACCTGCGTAGTATATGAAAAGGGCTAATCAGAGAGAAAATAAGCAAAACTAAGTCAAAGCAATACCATGAGTTTTGTCCTGGTTAGTCCCATTCAAAAGAAAACGCATCACTCGCTCAAAGAGATCAAGGGAAATGGATTCCGTTGACTGCTTGTGGCTGGTGAAGAATGTCTTCAAAATAAATAATCAAAAGTTGGCAGTAGGCGATATACCACGATGACTCCCGGTGGAACAAACCTTCCCAAAAGATCCGTAAATTTTGAAAAGGGCAGGATTTCTTTCTCATTTTGCAGGGCATCAAATATGACATGAATTTTCAAGAGCTGGTTTTGTGACACTAAAATAAATGCAAATCTGTTGAGATGTCAAAACGTTTCCTAATGATTATCATATAGCCTTGATTTCAAAACACTTAAATTTGAACTAGAAATTTGCAAGACAATAAGACGTTAATAAATGAACTAAATATACGTAATTTTTTTAGAAATCACGAGCTTCTCCTAGTATAAACTGAGATTTATTCTGATTGCACCAGTAACCTTAAGGCAAGCCAAATTTTTGAAATATAAGCAAAGGAAAAATAAACCACTAGAATTTGAACGCATTTAATTTTAGAGTTCGCCACAAGATCCATCGTTCATACAAAGATGGAGAAAATTAATTCATAGAAGACGATAAGAAGTGAGATTTTATAAATACACCAAAGAGGTAAAAAACTGAATTGCAGAATAGCTTAAAATGTGCCACAGAAAGGTACAGACCATGATCAAAGTAGCATATTACTAATGAACAAGTAGGTGCTACGCAAAGTTTAAAACATTTACACGATTGATTGTAGACAAAATAATCTGAAAACAGTTCGTGTCAAACACAGTTTCTCAGAGCCGTTAAACTATGTGATAACGCAATGTGTTACGTCAAGGTTAGGAAGAATTTCGAGTGTAAGACCATTATTATGGTCAGTACTGCTCGTGTTAGAAGTAAAACAGTAAGTCTGATATTTTTAGAAATATAATAAACTCTCAAAATAAGGATTTCCGTCTTCTATAGACGACTGAAAACAATTTAAAACACTAAAGAATGACTCCCAAAGCTTCCATAAATGCAGCTAATGGTTTTGTGGAAATGACATTGATGAAGTAAAGAACACAGGACACTATACCCTTTAGAACATGGTATTTCCTAAATTGCTAGTCAGACAGATTACATTCGAAGCAATTTGAATGCAAATGATTTAATAAAGCATGTGATAAGTGCAAAAATTACGTTTGGGACCATCGATTTCGTCTGTGAACAGATTGTTAAAAGCTCCCATCCTACAGTTCCACAAACATCTAAAAATGATTGAAGATCGCGGAAATCAAGCTGAAATCTAATGCCAAGGTCATCACGACGTACAATTTAAGCGACTTTTATAAGGGTTTCCTGATTTATTTACTGCCTAGTTACATACATTGTGTCATTTTATAAATTAAAATATATTATTCATGCCATTTTATTTAACGAATGTGCTTTGTTTTTATCTACAAGCCAATTTGCAAGCTGCACTACTTTAAATAAAATTTTAGCTGGCATGCTTTTTTGGAAAACATACCTAACGTCTGCCAGAGCCACTAGATTTGTTATAAATGAAGGGCTGCATATTCGATCTATTGTCCAAATATCTTATTACGCCGCATGTATAAGTCATATCGATAGGATTTAAGCACCCATTTTAATGACACGTACTAAATATACGATCACCCGGTTCTTACATACACAGAAGTCAGATTTATTTTGGATAAGGTAATCTTAAAATTTTATATTATTATAACATTGTAAATAATTGCATGTTTGCTTAATTAAATGTAAGGCAAATAAGTATGAAAAGTGCATTTTCTTGTTACTAAAATAAAGGACATCACAGAAGGCATACAAAAGGCGACAATCGAATTAATTGGTTATTGCGAAACAATTAGATTTGATATATTACAGCAAATGCATTGTAATGCTGTACTTTATCACACTTAAATTTTAAACCTGTCTCCATGACCCTAAATAAGAAACAAAATGTATGAACCTCTATAAGCAATAATATTTTCTTAAAATTTACATGGGTTAGTCTTTTGAATTAATGGAGAACTACACAGTGTATAAGCTTGTACAAATTTCTATTTACAGTTTTTCAGGTCTATAAACAAAACCAAACTAGAACAAGCTTTCTGAAATGGTGTAAAAATCTAGGCACTCCTATTCAAGTTATATCACTTATTAAAACTTCATGCAGTTTATTCTGAATTTCGCTTTATTACAGGAAATTAAGTGCCTAAGTCAACCTAATCTTATTTTGAACTCATTGGTTTTATTAAAATAAGTGTAAATTTTGTCAGATGAGCTGATTTCTAATAAACAACACTCTGAGACGGTGGATCAGAATGTTTGCTCCAAAATGCAGGAAAGCACATAATAGAAGGCAAATTACGAAACTCAAGTGTTACCCACGCACAAAAATCGCGGGTTTGTATGTTTTTTAGTATGCTTTATCGTTGACTTTCAAAAAGAAGGCATTATTTAAAGTGTTCTGCGAAATTAACCATTAAATGCGATTGCATTTGCTACTTTTATCATCTAGTAGGTACATAAAATGTTGCATTATAAAACATCTCGAGTTGATCTTATTCCAAATGGAAACATTTAACCCAGTGTCTAGTATACAACTAGAAAACCAGGACTCTTCCCTTTGAATTAGGTCAAAAGACCTTCTAGTCTTTGTAACTTTATAAAACCAACCAAAGGTACATGTACAGAAGTCGAAACTCTATCTGCTCGAAACAATACCCTCGTATTTCTTACTAAGCGTTTTTCATTGCTAAAAATCTAGTATATTTGTGGGAATAATTTGGCAGAAACTACCTGGTCATTCGACCTGACACAATGCCAACATATAGCCTTATTACACGCTTCTTGATCATTCAAACTTTCATTGACAACTTAAAGCAACTTCAACTTTTTTATCTACAGATTTTTTAGACCTGTTTATTCCTATGGACGCTAAGCCTTTACATACGGTCCAATAACCGATGAACTGTCAGTCACCTGTATGCAACTCTTTTCCTAGGTGCTACGTGTCTCACTGCGCCCCAACAGAGCCTCATTCATTGTAAAGAAAAGTCACAACTGTTCTAAATACTTAATTTTTTTCTAAAACGTTGGAAAACAAATTGGTGGAAGGAGGCGTCCAGAGCAGAACGAGATGCAAGGGTGACCACACAAGAGGATATAAGGTACATTAGGTCAACGCAAAAACGAAAACCAGAAGGTCGTGAATGAAGACCAGCTGTCGGTGGTTCAATAGCATGGAGCTCAAAATGTAGCACAGCCATGGAATGTAGTTCACAATCAAAGGGAGACTTTTGTGTGTTGCGATATCGACTGCTGATTAATGGATCGCGATAAGGTTGCGCAATGATTCACGCTGTACTCGCGAAAGCCCAGATGGAAAATGCAGATAAATGCAAAGGGTGTGAACTTAAATGATTTTCCGTCGCAATTCTAAAACAGGAGGCGTAAGTAATCATTCTATATAGGGAAAGGGTTAAAGTAGGAAAGAGGTAAATACATTTGAAACCAGCGATATAGTAAAATCAGCTTGATTACCAAAACGTGACCTCCATTAACAGTGAAAGTATTCCAGACTTAGTGTGTGAGGCGACTGTGTAAAAAAAGTCGTTAAAAATGAGTCATCACTTTTGTGCGATAAGCCTGTAATAAATGATAAAGTATAACATTATATAGGGTCAGGGCAAAATACTATTTCGTTACTATGTTTAAGAAATCACTATTGTTTGTTTTGATTAAGTAGGAATACTTGTTGATAAAACAGTGATTCATTTCAATAATAAAACAACCATTTCCCATCGATTTATTACAAGCTCTCACATTTTGCTAACCATTCATTTAAAAAAGAAATTATACATGGCTACACTGATATGGTAAAATAACAACAAATATCATAGGATAATGAAAATATTTGATCCTTACTTAGGGTATGGGAAATCACTTCTGAAAAATTAATAGTTAAGCATAATGCATCCAGTTTCGCCAATTCCTATGTAAAGACAATTGACTAACAATGAAGCATCATCCAGGAGCATTACCCATGTCTCAAAACATTGACCAAATGCAAAAGTTATCACTTTTTGCGTGTCTAATTTGTTATCGAAATCGCATGATGTGTTGGTGGGCTGGAAGGATACACCAAAACCAAAAAAGGCTTAAAAACGAATAAAATTCAATGATAGTCAAAAGTTCCAGCAAATGGCCGTGGCTAGTGTAGGGACTTCAAGGTGTAGTCTTGGCAATATAGTTTAAAGTTAAAAAAGCGGTATTAATGTGTCTCTAAAACTGGTTTATGGACAAATGCATTCCCTGTTTCTATTTTCGGGTTTATTTGGTACGGTACTACAATTACCGCACCGTGATAACTTTAATTTTTGAGATTTGCAAATTAACATCCAACAATCATTACCGTAAACTGTGATTGATCGTACAATGAAACAATTTCTTTACTAGGAGTGCGTTACCAGCTCTTTGTACTGACTTTGTAGTGTCGGCTTGCGCTTGGCCTCCGACGCAGGAAGACACAACCCCCATTTGGGGCAAAAAGTGCTACCATTTGTGTTGGTAATATGTGGTGTAAGTACTCGAAACGAATACTTTGCTAATCTCGTCATTTAAGTTACCATTTATCCTAATATACTTCACAGCTACGTAAGCTATTAAAGATCATATAGTCTATATCGTCATACTAAACTTATTCGCTCTTGCTAACGTCGTTAAAAACGGAAAAACCAGAATATGTTAAGCTTGAATTCTGGTTGAAGACCGAGCACTTACGGTGAAAGTGTTTGGGGTCAGCTGTTACCTGAAGCGGCTGACTTCAATGTTTCGTTGTCGGATATCATCGAATTAATTTGGCTGTCATTTACAGCCAATGAGGCTTCAAATTGAGAGCACAGTGTGCTTATGCTACTCGCTTCACCATCTACTGCAATTTCTGCATCAATGAAGGATACCTGGCTGCTATTGTCACTTGCACTAGCAGCCGGTGTTGAATCTGCGGGCTTCGTGTTACTTTCCAAGGAAGGCTGCTTTGCTCTTTGCACTGTAGAGGGTCGAATAAGAGTGCTGCAGGTGTAGGGCCCTGAACCAGCCAATAGTGGAGCCTGAAGCTGCTCACATAAACGTTTAAACCGGCGCGTAGGACCTTCAAAAAGATGAAAATCAAAAATCCCACACTTGTGCATTACGTTAGTTTGGATACTAAACAACGTTTCTTTAATTCAACAGAGTTTCCGAATTGATGCTAATAGGGATTTCGGCTGTACTGAAAAGCCTTATGTTTTCATATTCTTAAATCCAATTCTGAAATTCTTTATGAATACATTATCTGCGTAGAACCTTTCCTGACATCCATTAAAGCAATTTGATTACACCAAAAATCATGTTTATAAAGGAGCATAGAAGGATGAGCTTAAACTTCCATGTTAAAACACAGGACAGTCTGTAACAAATGTGGTGCTGAAAAGATTAATAAAAGGCGCTTTGGAACAATAAAATTTTACCCTTCTGTTAAAATGAAAGGTGAAGTAGAATTAGATCTCTGGAGGGTCTTGTTTGCCATAAAACTTTGGCGCGGAACCAAACTGTCTGTCAATGTATGAAGCATAGGCAGAAATATCAGACTCGGATTATAAAACCTGGTTTTTTCAGGTGCCATGATTTAATTTGACACTTCAGTATGGGTGTTAAATATAAAATTACCTGCAGTTTTAATTGGCGCACATAATACTTCAAAAGGATGCCCTAAACTATCTGACAATGAAGTTTTGTCATTTGTTTGCCTAACTTTATCTTATTAGCTCTAACGTTAATTTTTATTTAAGTAGATTTACTACTCGACTTGCTGCTCATTGTACTCCTAAGATCTTTTGTCACTTCCCCATGGTAAATACCAGTTAATTTTAAGGGCAAAAATGGATCAGGTTTTCGTTATCTACCACTTGGTAGTTGTTAGTCATAGCGACACCAGAGCAGTCGAATCTCAGGTATTGCATGATAAAAACCAGCTAAGCAAAAAGTAACATCTGAAAATCACGAAGTTATTCTAAAATGAGTGCACAATCCACTATCTTGATCAAGATACGCAATGCAATTCAATGCCTCCTTAATCATTAAAGAACATTAGTTTCGGTTTCAGGCAAGACGAAAACCGAAAAATTATTCACAATAGCACAAAAGAAGTCCTAGGGTTAAAGAAAGATTTTTTTTCTTACCGGACAAAAGTTGAAAGCTAACAGCATACAGTTCTTTGTCACTATTACTGTTAGCTTCATAGGTTGTGTCGGAGTTACCATTAGCGGCTGCTTGCCCTGTTGAAGCACGAACAATATCGATCTGAATTTTGACAGGTCGGGCTAGAAGGCTTGATCCACTGCCCGAGCGGCGGTACTCAGCACGAAACGTTGATGGGGAGAGGACTGTATGTACCACACCAGGAGTTGAAAGAAGAACCTGAAATGTGTTGTTGACGGTGTGGAAAGGTGCTGTAGCAACGCGTGCAACTCACAACCAATAAAGTGAATAGTGAACATTAGGAATCAACAATCCTGTAGGTGCAACAGTGGACATCAAGGACGTCCTGATTCTAGATATTTCCGATGACAAAAGGAGCAATCAGATGTCTGTCGCCGTTGTCTATAGATCCCAAAAAGCTAAAGATGACTCAAATAATGACTTGCTTAAAAAATGCAGACTTAACAACTTGTCAAGATGGTTTCCACGACCCCATGACAAACTACCAAACAGATCTACAAAAAATAGCATAGATTTCTTGCGATAAATATTTAGTCATCCGATAATGTTATTGACTGGACTCTTCAAAGGTGATTATTTTCTCTTATTTCCACCTTTTGTGAGCTGGTTAATTTCCGGCAATAGAAGTTATGGTTTGTAGTAAATTACTAGTTTCAACAATTTCTGTATAGGAGGACGTATGTGGTAAAATATCCTGGTGTTTCAGCGGATTCCATATTTTGAAATTAGCTTATTTAAATTAAAATGAACACGGGACAATTCTTAGGACTTAATGCTACTATCAGATCCTAGTTAAATATGCAAAAATCCCTTGTAACGATGACAGAAATTTCTGCACTAAGCCAGCAAAATTGATTTGGAAGCAATTTTAATTCGAAACTGCTTATATAAAAATGTGATTGACATTTGGCAATATTGCCACTCTAAGAAGTCAGTGTTAATTCGACTTATCATACCTTTAAATATTTGAGTTTAACTTGCTTAACGGTCAGATGGAATAACTGAAACGATTTTTGTCTAATTAGGCTACCAACCTCGTAGGTTGCGTTGAAGTATTTGAAATTGACGAAGACCTTATTTACCACAGCTCCTGTCTGAGTGTTGTGGTGGCGAGAGAGAGTAAGCAAACCTGAGAATTCGCCTAATTGAAAACTCTTTTTAAATTAATCATCAGTGTGGCAATCTACATGTGTTCGTAATCTGATATCTCTAGAAGCGCATTCACTTTAACCATGTAATTCAAAGACGCTCGTAAGGACTTAAACATCTAAAGAATCTGATGGCTATATGCGCCAACAATTTTAACCAATGTGCTAGTAAAAAGTACGCGCAGAACATGCCGTCAATCTTCACACATTTCACTTATTTGCATTAATTATGTAAGTTTTAATAAAAATTAAGTTCCAAGGAATATAATTAGAGTCTCTACAGTAAATGCAATGGTTACACTTATGAATCGCATCGATTCATGCTCGTTAACCCGGTCACTCCATTCTTCGACATACTGCTCCTCTTTTCACAGCCTGCCATTAGCCGAGGGGAACCTTAACTTACGCCTCATTGCTCGAACTAGCATCCTCGATTATCCCTACTTTTAAACATCTGAGCTTTAACGGCATACACGACACACATCGACGACGACTTAGTCGAGCTCTTGAATGGATGGTTGTCTCTCTGTCCCCCTGCAGTCCCAATCCTTCTTTGGGTACATCGTATCATATTGTGCAGCAACACATTCACGGTTATACTAAGCATAAAGCATATTGTTCTAGACATTTAGTCATGTCTAATAGACATTTTGATGCTAGAATTAAGATAAGGAATTCAGCTCAGTAATCGAATTGCTCTATTTTATTTCTTTGTTACCGGAGATGCCCGGATAAACATCAAATTCGATACGTGGAAGAACTTTGAATTTAAAATCAGTTAAATTGACAAATTGAATCTGGATGTTCGAAATACACCTTTTGGACATTATGCCATTACTTTTTAATTACCACATTATCCTTTTCTTCCAGTTTGTGAAAACTTTGATTAAACCATTGAGATCATCAACTATGGGTGATAATGCAATAAATGGACTTGATCAAAACTTTAAAAATATGAATTTTTTTCTGGTACAAAACAGACACACATAAATAGAAATCCGTCAAAAGCTTATCATAATGATATTCAACTAGTGGGGATGGTTTTGCGTCCTAAGACAGCCTTACCCTTGAAGTACACACTTATTCAAAAGGAATCTAGGCGACCTACGAAGGTATTAGCTCTTTAGTTGTCAACTCCGTGAATTTAATGGGCCTTCTGATGCGTGAATATGTAAATTGGGGGGGCAAACCTAGGCGTTGGAGGGCTTTGAGGGACTGGGACGGTTTTTGACATATCTGCTGGAAAGAAACTGTGACCCTATTGGTTGCTGTTTTTCTCCGTCCTTCACAGAGCTCCTTGGGAAAGACCTACCGTTACCAAAATTTTTAAAAATGTGGCTCGTGAAATATTCATCACGTCCGTAGGCTTCTTTCCATTCCTATTTTTTGTATAAATCCTTCGCAGCTTGATATATTGTGCAGATAAAAATAAACACAGTGTCGTCTCGCAACAGAAAATAGAATACTGGACATGCAATTATGAGCAATTTTTAATGTGTGCGATAGCATAATGCGAAGACCGATGGTGAAATCAAACATCCACGTTTTAGTTATTTAAGCATGATTTGATTGACCATGTGGGTTGACACCTGTTAATTCAACACCGTCCACGTCACCTTTTTCAAACCGAAGATAAACTAGCAAAATAACCAAAGGAAACACTTTCAGAGAGCAAAAAGATTGGATAATTTGTGCAATGACAGTTTTCTTCGAAATCGATGAACATTTTTTACTGTCGATCCTTCATGAATTTAATTTAATTATTCAATTAGTGTTTCTTTCGTTCTTTCCTTGTGAAAGGGATATTTTTCAAGCAGTGATGGGTTTTTCGCTATGCTGAATGTCAATGCCTTTATATGTTGATATCATGCATAAAAATATACACGCTTGTGCCAATTTACTGCTTCGTTCTGACTAGGCAACCTTAAACAAACTCTTCTCTCAAATGATACTGCATCTATGCATGATACATTACTTCAAGTCATTTAAATAAAATCTCATTGAAACCTATATGGCAGAGATTGTGAGCTGACTTAATAGATACATTTTACGATATGATTCACCTTTTAAAAATTCTACTGACTAATCGAAAATGTGGAAACATTCACTTTGAATAATTACAAGAAAAACGTCTCAAGCAAAGGCCGCATACCTAAAGGATAACAATTGTTACATGTGTGTAACATGTATCATCAAGTCAAAATAAATAACACAACGATCTTTTGCTAGGAAAGTGAATATTGTGCACGGACTAGCCAGGACTTACTCCTCTTGTTGAGAAACAGGTTCGCTTAATTTCCAAATAAAAGTAGCCAAAGGTGTTTGTGCGAATTTGAATGTTAATTACGTTATCAATGCTAATGTGTTTAGGCGCAATACTGCTGATAACTCAGCCGATACTAAACTCATTTCTTTGTTCATGGATTTTAGGTTGAAGAATTTAACTACTTGACTAAACTAAAAAAATGTCACGTCGACAGAAATAATAGAATTACTAAAATAATGCATATCACTAAGGGTGCGTACATTGAAATTTAAAAGAAGCAGCGAACTCTGTATGTGGTTGATTGCTCAAGTACTAAGACCAAACTTCAAATTCCATGACGAAATTTATGGTTGTAGAAGTAATTTCAAACTAATAGGTGCTTTCTCAACACTACTAAAAGATCATGAGAAATATTGAAATCTATTTAAGGCTTTGTTGTAAACAGGGGATAGTATTTCATTACCCAGCTAAATGAGACCTCAGAAAGTAAATTTTAAACTTGGTCTTAAAATGTCTTGAGTAAATGCGGCAACTAAAGTTAAAGAGATCATTTAGGCAATGCCTTAAATTTTAAACGACTCGATAGATAAGTATGTGGTGGATGCCCCACATAGAAAAACAAATGGGATAGACTTATAGTTAATCAGTCATCATCATCAAAAGATTTTGGATGTCAACAGGTTTAGTCTGTTTAGCACAGGTGCAATTTCTGTTCCTATTACTCTGTATTTATTTCCGGTCCTTGAAATTAACTTCGTTATTTTAGATAAGGCAATAAATAACTAAATGGACTTATATTTGCAGTTATAATACAGGAATGAGAAGGCTTTTATTTTTCGATTACGTTTACTGTTTATTTCTTTATTTTTAAAGAAAATAAATTTCAACCACAAGCCTAATTTCGTGCATGTCTTATCCATCAACAACTTTAATTTTGGTAGGTTAAAAAGCCGGGATGTAAAGAATGCGGAAAAAATGCAATAGATTCTTGGGTTAGCCAAAAAAATTATTTGCCTAAATTATGACAATACTGTCTGCGGATGTTATAAAAACTGTTCATTTAAATTTACATATTAGTTAGAATGGATCCATTACTTTGATATATAAAAGTTTTCATTTTTAAAAACCATAAACGATGAAGCACTATACAAACAGAAATTTGTGATTAGTAACGTACATGAGTAATTTCGGACTTCACACGACTAAAAGGTCTGCCCTTCACCATTGTCACGTGATTTGTTTCCTCTGGTGACAGAGTGCTCCCATGATCCAGAACATTGGAGGCTCGATAAGAACTCCGGGTAGACGAGTGCGGAGCCACATTCAGGGGCTGTGGTATGCCCGACTTGTTAGCGAGCACCTTTCGCGACAACGCTATCCTGTTGATGTGTGCCTGGTGTTGACCAGTTGATCGCGTGGAGTCGCGAGTCGGCGAGAGGGGTAGAGAAGGTGGCGTTGCAATTGGTTCCTTTTCGTCAGTATTGCGGAATGTGTGCCGTCCTGTGCTGGGCGTAGCTGGGGCTTTCGAAGTGACGACACTCCCATTGTTTCTGTGAGTTGTTTTCGTAGTTCCATTATGTAGACTGAGTGGTAGGAATCCGTCAAACCATGATTTGTTGCTTAATCTGTTTTTAAATAAATCAATAGAGTTAACTTATTTTAAATAGAAATGCCATGACTAATAAGTATGTAATAATGCTGCAAAATTATGTCGGAATTTCAAAATTTCAGGCAACTCTAATAGCGTTGCAGAATATCAAATTTAGTATCATTGTGCTTTGACCTATATTGATACAACGTTCACAGTCGTTAACTTTTGTCAATCACAACCTGAGTTCACTCTCCAGGCATGCGTAGCCACTGTCACAGCAGGAACGATAGCTGGTGTTTTTCCTTATCTATAAAATGACCAATAAGAAGGTGGCCTTCAGATTCAGCTTTGAACAAATATACGCCAAAGCCCAGTGGCGAATTTGCGTATACAATCTAATGCGCCAAGACTACACAAACAATCCAATCAGGTGAGGTAGACACGGCGCAATAAGTAGCGAAGACCAGAAGCGTCGAATGCACAAAATTGCAGTTTTGCTACGTCGGCACCCTTTAGGAAGACACCCGAGTCAACCTATTGTGAACTTAAGTCGAGTGAAGTAGTAACTATTTTTAGTTCCATTTTATTGAAAGGTTACGTGTATCGACATGTACAACTTTAAAGGACGGAAATTTCGACAAACCTTTTTTTTACAATTTTGTATATGGTCCTTATGTTTGACTTGAATGGGATAGTGTTAAATCCCCTACCGAAACCAATAACACACTAGGGATGGTTTTGTGAAAATCTTAAACGTCTATTACTAGTATTGGGTGTTGTATTTAAAAAGAAAATTAGAAACAGGGTATTCAGGCACATATATCGTCTAATTAGTTGATAATGCATTAAAGGTACAGATTGTTTGTTACAAACTTTAAAGTAGGAAAAATTGAACAAATCGAATGCAAAAAAAGCAAATTTTTTTACAATGCAATCTACTGTGTATAGGGAGCAAGCTGCCTAACGCAGTGTAAAATTTTAAAGTATGGGATTTCCTTCAAACGGTTATGGATTTGTCCCATACAGATGCATAGGTGCTTAAACCTCATTGCCACTGCAAGGCTTATAAGTTCTTCTGTAAAAAATATTGTAGAATCTATAAGGTGACAAGTAAGATGTAGTAATTTTTGGTTGTTTTTTTTGGGAGTAAACAGATGATAATCTCCAATTCAGTACCGGGGCCGTATTGAAGTTTGTAGTGAAGATTCAAATTGCGTCGCTTTTAACAGTCTTACAGAAAGAAAGCACATAAATGGACGGTCATGAAAGTTAAAAGAAACCCAAACAACGAATTGTGGTTTGAGGCCACAGAAAAAATGATTTCATCATTATTTAGTTTAAGAAACTTGGTGTGGCTGCTCGGAAACCTTTACCTTTGATTACGAGTGTTCGAGAAGACTCAACTCTCGGCCAAAACCCTTCATAGGCAATTGACCACAATTTAGTTAACCTGATTTAAGGCGGCTTAGACACATAATAAGTTGTTTGCTGCAGGGGAAGGAAGTTGCTAGTGATGCTAAAGTAAAAAATTCACGTAAATAGGGCAATTGCAAGCACAACGAACCAACGACTAGTGAAAGACATGGCGTAATTGCGTCATCTAACGCTTCGCTGGAAATGCAAGTCACAAAAAAAATTTGCTTTTTTGTGGTTTAAATAGATTTGCAGTAAACGATGGGCACAAGAATTCACATTTCTAACAATCATTAAGATTCTAATTGAATGCCGACCGTAATTGCACCACCGACAGAACTCGAACACACAAATCATTGATGCTAATATCCATTTAAAAATAGCTTTAATCGCTGTTATGGTAAGCAAAATTACGTTTCATCACTATTTTACAACCATATTCTTTCATCCCGCGCACAGCGCGCATTCCCAAGGAAACTTACAGGGGTGAAACCTCAGGTGTGGCAGTCGAACCTTGCCGGGAAGACTGCTTAAAGCCAAGTCTGCAGCTGTGATCGATAGGGCTTTCTGGTGGTGTTTCAGCCACCACTGTCTTCTTTCGATGGAATCTTGGAGATCCTAGAATACTCATTCGGAAGTTGTTGAGTCGAGTTCTCCAGTGTTGTGGAGACAGTAAAGGAGTGACACTTGTTGGTGATTCTGCCGTCGTGTTAAGAGAACCTCGCTTACGGTCCTTCGAGTCGCCATCCGAGGATATCTATCAGAAAATTTAATTTCTTAAAATAAGAGGGGGCGAGATGTAAGTTGTCTTACATTGAATTATTCAGCAAAATGGGTTGTTTTATACTAAAGATGTTATCCTATTATTAATGTGACGCATGAAAAGCATCTGTGCGCTTTGCATTCTACACGTTTGTTTACAACAGCAACCAATAGCTGGCCCTACGGGTTTTAACCTTCAAAAATAATTTTGATTGCTTTACTTAATTGCAGATTGTGAGTGTGAACCTGAACACTAAATTGCTAAAATCCAAATTTTCGTAATATTTCCTGTAATTGTAGGTCGTCAGTAGTACAACCTTTGCAATGAAGCGAAACACCATGATTAAGTTTGTGTACAAGTTTGAGTCAGAATCTACAGCAATTAGTTTTCTTCAGTAATGATATTTCTAAGCGAAAAATTTAATTTCTGAATGTTTTCTCAATCTTGGATACAATCAAAAAAAATTAACAAAAGTGTTAAATGAGGCGGGTTGAGTCCCATTTCTCAGGTTAAAATATCAACTTAATAAATTTTTCACTTGCGTTAAGGTCTATTCCATGCACTGATGGTCCAGGCAGATTAATTTTTTTGCTGTCCTCCAAAACTATAACTGCAGGTCGAGGGATCATAGTTGAGCTTTGGGGGCTGCGTGGTTTACTCAACGAGTCCTCTCGTGAAGAAATTGGGTTTGAAGGATTGGGCGAATGGAGATGCGTTCCATCACTGATTTTTCTCTTCACCAATGGAGACGTAAGGTCTGAGGGTGATTTTGGCGCATTTCGGACAAACGGGAGCCTACTTTGGTTGTGCAAAGGTGATAAGACCTGTCCTTGGTGAATATTAGGGTGCTTCCGAGAAATTTGAGGGGCCTCCGCGCGACCTCTTGTTGGAGAAACGATCACGTGTTTCCGATATAGATCGGAAATCCCTTCTTTCGGGTTGGGTGACGCGTAGCCGCCTGCACGAAGTTGACTTCTGGGATAACCCACTGGCGAACTAAGAGGGCTGGCTGGGGAACTTGATCGGGTGTCGAGATTACTGCTCGCTGATTGTTTACGTCTGAAATAGGGCAAAGGATGCTTGCTTTTGCATTGCTGAAGCCACGAATGTGCCACTATAGTGAAGTACTAACATAATTTGAACCACAAAATGCGTTAAGATTTACTTGAATATACTGTGATGCAAAAATGCTGCTTTAGCGGAATAAAATGAGGCCATGACATGAAACGTGTGCTAAAAACTATTTAAAACCAACAGTTTTTATGGTTACACAAATGATCCTGGTTTGAAATAAAAACATATGTGTTCTTGTTGCATCCATTGCAACTTAAAAACTCCTAAATGGCACTCTTAAAAGTTTAAAACTACGGATTAATGAGGGTGCTTTCCGTATCGTTGAACTACTTTAATACAAAAGCGAGCTGATGTATTCATTTTGGCCAGTAGTAAGAGAGTCGGTGACGCTGGTACCACTGAGCTGTCCACATTAAAGTGCACGTATTTATAATCAAGGACTTGCAAAATACGTCTACAGTGATGAAGTTAGTTTGTGTGTTTTTAATGGAGATCTTATAAGAAACCCACCAAGTTACAAATATCAAAAAAGTTACTTACATTTTAAAGCTGTGGGCTTTTTCTTAAAAAGCCATTACTTGCCTAAACTGAATTCTTTCCATTCCTTTTATGATCCATTCGGTGCCTTTTTACGAACCATTTACTGATAGAAAAAATTAAAGAAATTGTGAATCGTTGTTACCTCCAGCCTACAATCTCACCCAGAATTACGTGTTTGACTTTGCAAAGTCTTTGTAGTTATTTTACACCACAAGAATACAAGCGCTTAATTATTTCTAAAAGCAAATTTCAATAAAAGATAGGGAAGTTAATTAATACGTGAAAATAACACATAGCATGATAAAGCTACGGGTTAAAAACGAGGTACTTTATCGTTAAGGAAATCTAAGTAGTCGCACGACACAAAAAACTGATAACTCCCGTAAGGGGTTAATTGTTTTCTGCATTAAAAGATTATTATTCAAGACGAGGGAACTAACAGTGCGCCTACAAGAATGTGGCATCTTTACATGCGAAATCACTTATCATTTTGTAAGAAACACTAGATTTAGCTATTAAGAGGAGAACAAATTCTAGTCACACGACCAAGCAATACCGTGTTCGGTTAATGGAAATTTAAAGTCAGAATTTTATTAGAATGATCCTAGTAAAACCAGAATAGCAGCGTATAAATAAATACAATGCACTATTCTTGAAAATTTTCGTTTTATAATGAAATTACTGTTCAGTAAATGTTGATACAATTTAATTGTTTTTTTCAAAAGAATATTAATAGTTTGTCATTGAACATATAACATATTTATGTCAAACGTTTTTTTTGAATGAATTTTTAGTAAGGGAAATCAATAGCACCTAATGTTTTGAAAAACAAATTTGGCATGCATAAATTTGTCGCACAATAACATGGCAGAATGGGAAGAGAAAATATGCTTACAATATTTGAACTGCCAGACCCCGGCGACCGGCCAATGGGGAGCCCTCACTTAAGTCACCCAACGAAAGACGCACATGGCCATTGAGACCAATCCGGAGGCTGTCGATGCGTTTCCGAGGTGGATCTGGCCCACAGGCAAAAAACTTTAGTTTAACACTATTATGCTTATTGCAAAGATTACCCCAATTACAATTTGTGCAGTGTTGCATGAAACCAAAGATTTTGATTACTATCTAATAAATGCGGGCATTTGAATTTCATATCTCTGCAATTAGTGGTTGTAAGACTCCAAGATTATAGTTTTGAAAGATATTTAAAGTGCTTTTTTGTTTTGTTTACCTGAACGGAACTATAATTTCTACCCCGCAAAATCCGTATAAGACATTTTAAATAAAATAAAGGCTAAAATTTATTGTACACAAATTAGTCAAATTCACGCGTGTTTTTCTAGTAACAAAGTATTTATTGACAATATTTATTTTACTATTCACAAAAGATATATTTATACATTTGGTTCACTACCCTATTTAGAACCAAGTTAACTTGTTTCACGACTGCTAGCGTTCAGAATTGGCGAAATAGCATAACAGGAAAACATATCTCCGATAATCTGTAAGACCTACTTAAGATAATGCGGACCAAGCATTCATCAGACATAAAATTTGGAAAAAAAACCTTCGAAAAATCACTAAGTAGACGACTGAATGATTGTCTAAAAGCTAAAAACTAACTCAATTTCAATGTCAGATTTCTGAGGAAAATTCTCATAAATACAGCAAACGAGATTTTAAGGTATTCCGCAGTACGAGTTCAATGTATACCCACATACGTACAATAAAGAAAATAGCCTGTATAAGCAAACTCTAAAAAAGCGTTTGCCCTTCGCAAGTTAGCCAAAAAATAAACCATTAAGTTCAACCTCAAAAACTCCAAGAATTTCGAGGCTTGAAAACAAGCTTTGCAAAGTTAAAAAAAATTACGTGGAAAATTATCCGCCATTCAAAGATTAGCTCACTTGCACTAAAGATTTCAGATATTCTCATCGTGTATTAAAATACTTTCAAACAAACGACCTTGTCGTCTTTAAGGTAAGGCATTGCCTAGGGCAACCGCGACTAAAAAAGTAATCGGTTTAAACCTTCGCTTACATTAGTCCATAAAGTTACGACTCACGCTGACTTCTGCAACGTAACGCTAGTTGCGAATGGTCCTATTCGAGCCACGCTGAGTTAGCACAGGCGACTGCAGGAGTTGGGTCAAATGCACAGCACTATGCCACCAACAGAACTGCACTGATTGGGAGTCATGTGGCAGTACTTGCTGCCATCAGCCCACACTACCTCCCTTGCCAATTACTACTGACCGTCACGAAACTAACGAAAACCATCAGAAGAAAGAGGTTGGAGTGGGCTAGTGGAGGGAGCGGGGTTTTCCAACACAACAGCGCCAGGCCACTCATTTCCACACAAATTGGACAAAATGAGAGACACACGTGGCTGGAACTATCTGGTTCATGCACATCGTCGCCCGCATCCTGCACCATCGGGTATTTTCGCTCTCATTTAATCAAACCATAATCCACCAAATGGAGAAAAGGTTTTGTGGTTGTGCGTTTACCAAACCTCGTGCGACAATTCGGCATTACAGTAAACAAGTTGCCAACATGAATTGCACACCCCAATTCTATGACTGCATCATTTCCTTTTTCAAATGAGTGAGTCTTTAGGCGCTCAAAAACTAGACTAACCTTGACTGAATTCAAATGTTAAATATGCATGCATCTAACTTCCTCGTACAGGCGTTTTTCTTATTACTTAAAGCAGGTTCTGCCTTTTTTACTTCTTTGCACCGAAAAGCGGTAGGTAATCGGAAACAAAATGTTCTGTCTAGGAGATTTGAGTATTTTTAATTTACTCCTTGATCGTAAAAATTGTCGCACTTTGCTTCAAAAACAAAATAAATAATATTTGTTTAACACTAGTTTGATAAAAATCGTAACCATGCGGTTGCATACAACTTGGTTTACATTATAACCGTTATGTGATTTATCGTAAAGCATGAAACAAATCAAAATACAAATGTGTGTCTTACCTTTAATGGGACAAATTCCAACTGACCGGAGGTGAAACATAAAAATAATAAAAACAATTTTATTAAATTAGCTAAATTTACCCCTCTGCGACGCGGTAGCTCAAACACATCGGAAAGAACCGCTACTTGTTTCACATTTTATGACTGTTGTTTTATAGTGAGAAAGTAGGTTACTTACTAAGCCCGGTGAAATGGGATCTGTTTGAGTGAAAGCACACGTCAAAAAATTGCATCTGAAGAATTACTAATCGACAACAGACGTTCTAACGTTGATTTACATTAAATGCGCTTGTAGCGCTCCATGCTTAGGTCTTAATTGTGGTCTTGAATAGGCCATATAAATAGTGTTGTTGAAAACAGAATAAAATTATTTTAGTTCAAAATTAACTCCAAACTTATGTAGCTCACGATATTTAAGAGTTAAGGGGATTTTTACATTTTGACTTTTTAATTATAAAAAGCATTTATAAAAAGCAGTCTTGAACATATTTCGCTGATTAAGCAATACTTCCGGTTATATAGTCATTAACCACCTCCAGAAGGAATGTTAGGAGCGCTGGCGTTAACTCAAGGACGTACACACTAACAAACGTGTTGCGCTTATTTTTCTGCTGCAGTACATGCGATTCCGTCACCCACTCCAGCAGCAACTGTTCTATTCTCTATCCTGCATTGTAGAAGCAACGACAAACTCTACTGTTGCTTACATACGTAGCAACGTGCGCGTGAACCCACGGCCAGAGCAAAAGCGTGACTCATTACCTCATCAGTGCACGCCCAACTGCCCAATAAAAAACTGGATTTTTATTGAACCTGGAGTACGACACGAGCTGATAAAACAATAACAACAAGAATGAGCATGCAGCATCACTTGTACCTTTTCTAGTTTGATAATCGTCAGGATCTTCGCAACATGGACTCCGGATTTTTCTATCAAGGAGAAGGAAATAAATAACCTTCTCAGTGTTGTGGCTGCAAGAAAACAAGGGATTTGGTCAGATGTGACATGTAATTTTGAGCCTTGTAGATCAAGAGGTGCTAAGAAAATGCCTTTACAAAGCTGAATCAAAAGGCAGAATAAGTGGCCTTTTAAATATTATATTTAAAAACATGTTAAAAAGACAAAAGTCTATTATTGGGACAACGTACAGACTTAAAATAGCAACACAAATAGAATTTTTAAATAAGTAAAATCTTAAAACTGTTGGTAATTTTAGGGATTTTGACCAAAATAATTTAGATTTAAAGCACTTCGACAAAGGTTAAACCAGTGAATAACTGTTTGTGCCAAAATACTCAGCACTTCTAGCCTTTTGCTTGGTTTTAAATATTAGGGCTAAATAGTCTAAGGGCTAGATTGGATGTTAGCTAAAATAAAATATTTCTTGACTATTAACTCGTCCGAAGACGCCAATCATTAATAAAAGGTCAAGTTAAATTGGGCAGAATCAAAAGCATTTTGGTAAACAACAAAACAGATATTAATGGAAGCATAATTTTTAATATAAAGTGATCATGTGCAAAAACATTATTTTTTTCATAACATCTTATGTTTATAGTCAATTAGAATCCTAGAAACGGTAATGATTCTGATTAAGATTATACAACTTATCTAATGACATTATGGTATTTACGAAACCCAACATCAGCAAATGTTAACGTAATGCCAAATTAAAACTTGCTATGGGGAAAGTAGAGCGTCATAAAGCTTCGCCTCATTTTTAAAGCACTGTAGGGATGTCATTGTGCTGAAAATATCCGGGTCTACATCTTCACGGGTCGGAATGATTGAGGTTTGCACAGCCTGAGACATTGGAAGTTCGGTTTGAAGGGGCATTTCTTGGTCACTATACAAATTAACAGATATATTTATGATCAATGATGGTTTATTCCTTATTCAAATTGTCTTTTAGTGTAACAATGGACACACAGATTTATTATTGAAGAATGAAGAAGAATAAACATAGAATAGAGTTAGTGATCGGTTGCACGTCTCACTTCGAGAAATAATATATTTGTTTAAAGGCATTTGCAACGGACATTAGATGCAATTTTGTGCTATTGATGATCTAAATTTTTTTCTCAAAAAGTAAATATTACGAGCGCATTTACAATTTCCAGACTTCTATTTTTGCATTGTTGACAAGGAGAGGGCCGCCGTTTTTCTTAAACGCAATGAAATCTTTGGTATCGTTCGTCTTCAGAGAGTCAGTTGTTCCATTTCGTCAGGCACACTGATACACCAACACGAGCAACCCCTGTTTGTTCGACTAACGCATGCGGCCTAAGGCCTGCTGACAACCAACTAGGGGTAAATGAATGCAGGACAAAATCTTTGGATGAAAGCAAGTACAAGTGGTGGGCCTATCTATAGAAAAAAAAATAAACCATTTTCTAAGTGAAGCATTAACGTGGGGTCTTGACAAATATTTGGGCTATATAAGTAGGTTGATCATTCAAAATGCAAGCGCCAATTTGTATGTGCAAGCATGCCTTTGATTTTAGAGACTTACCTTGTTACCCAAGAATGTTCAAGGACGTCTTTCAGCTAAAACGCAAATATCTGATGTGGCTTATGTGGTAATGCAAAATAGAACCGTAATTTCAAATTTTATGTAGCTACAACATGTATCAGTGCTCCTTTGAAAGTATGCAGAATTCCAAATTCTAACTCACTAAAAATAGGTAATTCAGGTGTTTTTAAACTACTGGATTGGTTTACCTGGAAAAGAATCCAAAACATTTTTTTCCAATGTAGAAGATGTGCAAGGATATACGGACTACGTTACAAAAGCAGAACTAGATAAAACCTCATTTATGTTACCTCAATCATTATGATGTTTCTGAAATTATGTTCTAGGACAGACATCCAGTTAATATTTGACTAAGATTATTTATTATGCAACGTATAGAAATAAACATTATCTTTTTATAGAATTCTGAGAAAGTTAACAACATATATTTCTTGTAAAAAATACGGAAATTAAGATCTTTTGTACATAAGCGGTATAGTTTACACGTTAGTGACTTAATGTGTGCCCCTTCACTAGGATGCTAGGTAAGCGCAGGTGCCCTTCAATTACATGGGATCATTTGGCCTAATTCACTGCGTTACGTGGTATTGTCGAGTGTGAAATTAGTAATTTTAAGCTGGTATAAAATCACCCCGTAAGTAGCTAGCTTATTTGGTTTTAACCGTCATTCTCAATGTTAACGTCTTGTACTTTTGGTTGAATCCCTGAGCAGTTTAACTCTTTTTCAAAAACGTACCAATATTCTTTTTTTAGGGTCTACTTCAATCATTGCCCTAAGCAGCCCTTGACAATCTGCAGGAACAAAGGGAGGAATCTGAAAGTTCCCTTTTTTCACCTTTTCAAGGAGATTGCGAAGATTATCATCGTCAAATGGGAGGGCACCCTTAAACAAAGAAGAGGGTGATTCATCGGTAAATGTTATTATATTGAGTGAGGGACAAAAATACGTGCTTAGATTAAATAAGTTATCATGACGTCTTTAGAAGGCATTTAGTGTAAATGCGGTTAACAACGGTTTCCATTGCAGAGGAAGTGGCAAACGGCTGTCGGCAAAAGTGGCCTCTCTTTGACTTGCACCCAGTGGACAGTGGAGCAAACCACGCTCAAATCACGAGCCTCGTAAAGGGAGGCATCATCTATCTCTGGCAAGTTAATCTAGATTAATTTAATGCCCAGACTTAGGAAGTATCAACAGGACTTGCCACCAGCAACGCGTAGAGAATCACGCCGCAAGACCACACGTCAGCCATTCTGCCGTCGTACTTTTCCCCCTATAATGGACAAACAAGGAAACATTTTAGTGTACGTTTGCACATTGTTAGTGGAACAGGAGATATCCTAAATTAAACATTTAAAAAGTAGTGAATGTCTAAATTTTTACGCCAATAAATGACACGTAGCAGTTTGGAGAAAGGAAACATGAAGTGACATGCGATAGGCTTTGCGAAACAGGTCGAAAAACAGCACTAGTAATCATTAAAGGAAAAAATAAGCTCTGGATTTTATTTCAATTTCCAATTTACTTTGTCATGTTTCTGTAACCTATTGATAAAAAATAGGTAGCTGCATACTGGCCATAGCAAAATGAGGGCAATGATAACTTGTTTTGCAACATATTAAACACTTTGAGTATTTTCTTCCTTAAATGTAATACTAGAGCATGTCCACGTTAGCAGCATACTTCCAATCTCAGAGCAAGTCTTGAGCACTTCTCAAGGAAATAGGTGAAGCACAAACGAAAATTCTCCCAGGAGTCAGGACTGCATGCATTAAAATTTTTTACCGCTTTGTGTAGTTATTTGAAAAGGCAAATCTTGTTAGGGAGAGTCAACGGTAAGTCTTACACCCTTGCTACCAATATAGGAACTTAAATTCATGAGCGCAGTGCTAAACTGGCACTAGTTAGGGAAACCTGACGAGGTCACAAATATGAGCAACGTCGTAAAGGAATTTAATCCCCTCATTTTAATTAGATAAGTTCTACTTATTTTGTATTATATAACTAAAACACTAGCAGGAAGGACTGGGCATGGATAATTTCTAAGAGGCACGAACTTTGCACAAAAAATCTGCTTCTCCTAATCTTTAAAATTACACAGGGTAATAGGTGTGGAGCTACAGAACTGCCCGTTGCAAACCACCCCATTCAACCAGTGCTAATCTCAACAATGCGATCACTTATAAAATAGCCCAATATTTGTCCTTATTATATAGATATATTTTTCGACTCCAAATATGACATCTTTAAAGATTTTGCCTAATTTGTCTCTTTTAAAAATTGCCCACAATTTGGGTTTACATTTTTTAAATTTTACTAATATGAAAATCTACATACTTCAATCAAAATGAATACTGTAAAACTTTGGCAATATATTTCGAACTTAAACTTTGATTGTCCATGACTTTACCACCACAAAGACACGTCTAGAAGGCAAGAACAATATTTCGTCACATTAATTGTATCGGGATATAGATAAAATACAACTGATCTAATCACAACAAATGCAATGTTTGAACTTTGACAAATTGTGCAATTGTAGCTATTAATTTGATCGAGAAAGAAAATCGATTTCTCCTAGACAGAACATTTTGTTTCCGATTACCTACCGCTTTTCGGTGCAAAGAAGTAAAAAAGGCAGAACCTGCTTTAA